TAGTAAGAGAGAAAAGGTATGAACCCCCAGTGAGTAGCTCGAGACCAAAATACACTGCCTGATGAACCAGGCAAGTCTGGATTCCTCTTGAAACACCCACTGGTGAGGGGAGTTGTTGCTCTTTTCCCAATAGAGCTTTCAGCAGAGGCATGAAAATGCTTCAGAGTTCTCACTGACAGAGCTTTTGTAGGCCTCCTAACCATGGTTAGGTTTTTTCTAGTTTTTATGGCCATCCATTAGGAGTTTATCTCAGCCACCTTTGAGCTTTATTTTACTTTCTCATCAGGGCCACAGCAGGTGTTATCAGTCACCTCAGCCCATTGTACATATATGCCTTGAGGGGTCAGCAGTGTTTCTGTAGGCTGAATCAATTATCATAAGTGACTCTTAAGTTTTGAGACACTGAGGATCACAAAACATGTGTCAAACCCACCCTCAAGAGCAGTGGTTCTCAACCTTCCTAATGCCGCAGCCCTTTAATACAGTTCCTGCAACCCACAGGTTGGGGACCACTGCTCAGGAGGAAGGGAATTAGTTGCCACCTCTTGAAGGAGGAGAATTTCAGGACCATTTACAAACTACTGTTGGTGATTGAGCCCTAAGGAGCCCTTGTGCTGACCAGTGCTAACAGGTGCTCTGAGAACCTGGTTACCTTCTTTGCTATGAGTCCATTACCCTGTTCAGCAGGTGGGGCAGGAACAGAAATTCTGACTAACTAGGTACCATAAAAGAAGTGACAGACCTTTTCATTGACCCAAAGGCTGAAGCGATAGTTGTTACTATAACTCTGTAGGATTCATCTTCTCTCTGCCTAGTTGACTAGTGATGTTTCCATTGCCCTAAGGGTAAATGATCAGGGCATTATTCTTTGAGTACATTAGGTAGAGAGGATATTTCTGAACTACATTCAGTATTCTTTGGTAAGATGAGGAAAAAGCAAAAAGAGATCTAACCATTGAAAATTAATTCTAGTAGGCCTATACTATATAAACATGGCCCCAAAAATATGGTAGGTCAGGTAAGCTAATAGTAGCCTTTAAGGCCATGTTCTCATTTATAAATAGAAACCTCCATGGATTACTGCAATTGATGACTAGAAAAGGGAAGCGTGTTCTCTTCCTGTACACCAAGGCAGGAGTGAGGACCATTCCTACCCCTTTCCCAGGTCCTGACCTTTAAGTTGGTCTCCTTTCAGGATAGTAACCTTAGAGGTTATGGAGCTATATGCCAACTCAACTTTTATCTGTAATCTTGGGGATGACTCCTCAAAGCAAAAGCTGATAGTACTGAATTCACAACACTGTTATAGTTAGTCAAATAAATGGCCCATACAGGGGACTCTCTTTGGGGCAAAGAGGAATGAAACTAGGAAAATATGCCACACATTAGCTGACTTCTGAAGTTTATGTCTCCACCCCAGACCAATTTCCCCAGCTCCAGACTTGATTTTCAACGGCCTCCTAGACAATTTCACTTGAATGTTAAAATGACTGTCTTAAACTTAACATGTTCTACCAGGGCTCTCCAATCTTTTTTCTTTTCTGTCACACACTAGAAGAATAAGCGTTGTCTTGGACCATACATTAAATACATAAACACTAAAGAAAGCTGATTAGCAAAAAAAAAAAAAAATGTTTTTCAAACTTTTCGTGATATCAGACACCACAGATTAGCAAAAAAGAAAAAGTCCTCACAAAATCAGCAAGTGGCCTATGGGCCACAGGTTGGATACTCCTAAACTGCTGGGGTTTTTTTGGGTTGTAGTTTGTTGTTGTTGTTGTTTATTTTAGAGACAGAGTCTCACTTTATTGCCCTTGGTAGAGTGCTGTGGTGTCACAGCTCACAGCAACCTCCAACTCCTGAGCTTAGGCGATTCTCTTGCCTCAGCCTCCCAAGTAGCTGGGACTACAGGTACCCGCCACAATGCCCGGCTATTTTTTTGTTGCAGTTTGGCCAGGGCTGAGTTCAAACCAGCCCTACACACTGAGCCACAGGCACCACCCTGAACTGCTTGTTTTTTTTGATCACTATTTCTCTATAAAAAACCATCCCAATTATTTTGTAATCTCTCTCATCTTAGAAACTGGCAACTCCATTCTTGTAGTTGCCCTGGCCAAAACCTTGAAATTATCTTTGCCTCCTTTTTGTCTCATAGCCACATTCAATCCATTGACAAATATATTAACCTACAGAATCTATCAAAAGTCTCACTGTCGCTCCCCACTTGCATTACTACTGCCCTCTTCTGAACCACCCTCTCCTTTGCCTGGATTACTCTGATAGCCTCCTAGATTGGTCTTGCATACACTGTCCTGTCTCTGTACTTGTCCCCATAGTAACCACAGGGAGCTGTTAAAACATGCAAGTCATTTTATACTGGCTCTTGGTATTCCCAGTGGCTTTCCAACAGACGCATCAAAAATGCTGGTCATCACGAGGGCCGGGGCCTCTGATTCCTGGATTTCATCTGTTCTCTTCTTACTGTGTTCCAGCCAAACTCCTCTTTGTTGTTCCTTATATGTAAGCATAATCCTGCCTCAAGGCCTTTGTTTTCCCTCTACCTGGAATGTTCTTCCCACCAAAACTTGTGACCTACTCCCTTATTTTCTTTATGACTTTGCTAAAATTCATTTTGTTGGAAAGGCTGTGCCCAGCTCCGTGACATTTCTGGCATGTATGGGAGCTCAGCAGATGTTTGTCAAATGAGTGAAACACAGCTGGAATCAACAGGTGGAGTTCTTTTGCCTGTTCTGTCCCCTGCACCCCCCACTATTCTGTTCTGGTTGCTATCTGTCTGTGGAGCTCACTCCTTGAAGTACTGGATATTTCTGACTCCTGAAAAAGGCACTGAAGAAGGGGAACCAGGTGGCACCACAGTAAGCCTGAGATGTGACTGAGTAGCTGTAAGAACAAGAGAGAGCCAGCTTGACCACTCCCTTCTGTAGAAAGAAATCTTGCCTTGAAAAAGCAAAGGACATTTCTTTTATAACCTGCTGCCTAGAAGGCACTTCATACCCAGATCCATGATCAGACCTTGGCTTGGCAGGGAGTTGTTATGGACACAGCTACAGCTTTGTCAGTCTGCTCTTCTTAGGTGTCTCTGCAGTATGAATATAAGACCAGTGTGTGTCTGAGAAGCACAGTCTTTGAGTAGTAGGACTTTGGGTCATTTTTAAGCCAAGAAAAGTTAAGCCAATTAAAGGTAGTACATGGGATTGGCCCATAATATGATACAATTTTATAGGATTTTCCAGTCTTAAAATGAATGTTTTGACATCTTATTTATCCAAGAACATGGGGAGGTCTGCAGAACCTCCAGAATTATTTCCATTTGATAATGGGTAAAGAACCAAAGCACGGAATAATTAACCAGCAAGTCTGAAATTTGGTCCCAGGCCATTGATTTGCTTTCCCATTTTGGCCAACAAAGTGACATCTGACCTTCCTTGATTTTTATTGCTTTCAGATTACTGTAACTGGTGAGGCATTGGTGGAAAATAAAGTTGAGATAAAAGAAGGCTAAGTGCAGAGTTAGCTTCCATCTCAGGCTTCTAGGATCATTAAAACTTACCTTTTTTTTTTTTAATTAAATCATAGCAGTGTACATTAATACTGTCCTGGGGTACAGTGTACTGTTTCTGTATATAATTTGAAATACTTTTATCCAATTGGTTAACATAGCCTTCATGTCTTTTTCTTAGTTATTGTATTAAGACATTTATATTGGCTCGGTGCCTGTGGCTCAAGCAGCTAAGGCGCCAGCTACATATACCTAAGGTGGGGGGTTCGAATCCAGGCCGGGCCCGCCAAACAATGATGGCTGCAACCAAAAAAAATAACTGGAAGTTGTGGCAGGCGCCTGTGGTCCCGGCTACTTGGGAGGCTGAGGCAGGAGACTCGCTTGAGCCCAGGAGTTGGAGGTTGCTGTGAGCTGTGATGCCACGGCTCTCTACCCAGGGGAACAGCTTGAGGCTCTGTCTCAAAAAAAAAAAAAAAAAAAGACATTTATATTCTACATTTAGAGAGATTCACATGTACCCTTATAGGATGAACCATAGGCGTGATCCCACCAATCACCCTCCCTCCACCTACCCTCCCTCCTTTCTTCCCCTCCCTCTCCCCATATTCCTGGGCTAAAATTGGGTTATAGCTTTCCTATGAAAGCTATAAATTAGTTTCATAGTAGGGCTGAGTTTACATTGGATACTTTCTTAGCAGAGTATCTCAAGAATGGAAGAGAAAACTTACTTAATTTTTAGACTGAGCACTATTTCTTTCTTTCTGAGTGATCCCTAGAAGTAGAGGAGACCAATGGCCTCTAGCACATTTAGAAATCCCCCTGATTTTGGGTTCATTAAGATGATTGCAAATCAGTTATATAAGACAGATTCTTAATCTGTGAATAAAAGCTCTTGGGACACTGGTTCAATCTCCTGTTCACTCCTTTCCTCCCCTGGTGAAGACCAATTTGCTGGATTCCTACTTTCCTGGAAGAGGTTTAGTCATTGATATTCAAGTAGCTTCTCTAAGCATTTGTTTCTTACATCCTTGTAATAGGATTTGATTGTAGGTGTTTGATTTTTAGGATCTCTCATTTTCTTAAGGGAATGTGTGACATTTGACATGATGTATAATAATTGATAGAGGAGATGATATAGCCTGTGCTTGCCTTTTCTATAGAGGAAGGCTTAAGTTAGGGTAGTTAGGCCTGTGTTCTCTTCCAGTAGGTTGGAGAACCACTTACATCATATATTAGTAGAACCTTACATGTTGGTAACCCTAATATGTGCTTGGGCTGCTTTGGTGGGTAGGGTTGGGGGGATGGAGTTGGTTCCATTACCCTGTTCTGACATGAAGTGGTCTTTTTCAAAGCTGAACATAAGGGTGGGCCACATTGTAAGGTAGCCAAGACTGGCTACAGTAGAAGTAGGCCTGTAGGAGCCTTAGCATTTCTGTTAGAGTAGGCTTCTATGGTGACTGTGTCTAACACTTTTTCACAGCTGCTCCTGATATCACTGGCCATAAACGGAGCGAGAACAAGAATGAAGGACAGGATGCCATGATGTACTGCAAGTCAGTTGGCTACCCCCACCCAGAGTGGATATGGCGTAAGAAGGAGAACGGTATGCCCATGGTGAGTAAGTGGCAGCCCTGAGTCTCTGGTTACTGGGGTTTCTTCTGGGGAGGTCCTGACATCTGGACCAGTTGCTGTAATTGGTGTATCTTCAGATGTATGCATGGATTGGGTCACTCGAGTCATGAATGGTTTGCACCATGAATCTGGAGGTCACCAACATAATCCATCCAGCAGGAAATCAGTGTAGTGATTGGTTAAAGCTGCCTGTCTGGTAATGGATTAGATTGCTTGATTTCAGGGTAGGACACTGAAAAAATTAAGCTTAATGTTAATTCTAATCTTATTCTTGTTTGTTTATCCTAAAGAAAATACTATTTTTGAAATGGTCTTAGAGTACCTGTCTTATATTTTGGAAAGACATGCCATTAAGGGCAATTATTATTGTATTCCTAGAATACAGACAATACTGATGAGGAATTGGGCACTATGAGGAGGCTCTGGGCAGCCTTAGACATTGGAGATCTGACAGCATTTGCTCCAGGAAAGTTTAAAGAGAACATTTTTTTCAATCTGGGGGATGATTCTGATGGTGTTTTAGAGAGTCATTGCCTTAGGATTTTAATGATGAAATTCTAATTGAACGAATTTGATCAATTAACCTTTTTTTTTTTTTTGCCAGAGAGGGTATCAGACCATACATTCTTTGCATTCCCATTCCAGGCATCCTCTTTGACTGTCAGTCTTCAGAATTAGGATCCTAAAGATCATTTAATCCAGCTTCTTTGGAAAGATTTCATAGTAACCAAGGTGGCAAAACCAAGAGTCATATCTAGTTTTTTAATTTCAAGTCTATTATTGTTCCCACTTCATTACCTCTTGATAATAAAATGCCAAGTGGTAGTAATGACTACAGTATTAACAATGATGGCTAGATTTCAGACACCCTTTAATAAGGGGGGTAACGATGAAGAATAGAGAGATGAAGATGTTGACTCAAGTATTTTGGGGGCAGCCCTAGATGCTTAGGTGGTGGTAAGGAAATGCCCATTTCTCTCAGCTGGTCACCTGGGGAGCACAGCCCATGCATGGGCTTTTGCCAGAGCAGGTTGGAATGATTCAATGGGTATTTTTATCTCCTGAAAGATGAAGTTTGAAGCTTCAAGAATAGCTCTTTTGAAATCTATGGGTTTCCTCATTTCAGCCATACCCACACTCAAATGTAGACATGATTGTATGCTATATCTGAAATCATTTGGGAGATAATCTTTCCCCTTTTTCTCTGCTAATTTCTGATTACATGTTGTTGCAGGAGGAATCACATAAGTCTCCTTTTTCTCCCATCAGGATCCCATGAGCTGAGTGTGTCCTGCATGCCATCCCAGCTGCACCCAAACCTCAGCCTTTGTACTCTCACACCTCTGCCTTCCCACATGTGTAGATCTCTGCCTGGAATACTTTCTTCCTGCTTGATAAGCTCTTGTTTTCCACCATCTAGTGCAAATGTTAGCTCTCCTCTGACTCCTGGCAGTGGTCAGTCATTCTGTGCC